TGACCAGAATAAAATTGATTGGTTGGTTTTTTCATTTTTTGTTTACAATTATTTCAACAATCAATAGCAAGGTTGAAAATATTATTCTAGGTAATGAAGTTTTGGGATACGATTTATTCACCCTTTTCATAAATCCCTTATAAACTGAATATAAATCTATTTTCAGATTTTTTAAATTATTTTTAATTTATTATGTATATTATTAAAAAATTTAATAATCATTAAATATATTTATATATATATATATATATATATTTATAAATTTTATTTTGTATATTTTTATATATTTATTTATTATTTATTAATAATATATTATTTGATTTAAAAAAAAATTCAATGATCTGCATTAATTAATAGGTAACATACTTGCTAGATACTCTCTTATATATTTTATTAATTATAATGATTTTTTTTACTAATGTTGAATTTTAACTTAATATTAATGAACTTTCCACTTAGAAACTTTCGAGTCTTATCTATTATGATTAAAGTGTTAAAATAAAACTAAAATAAAATTAGATCAATTTTAATATGACTTATTTATTTTTTAATTTAAATAAAATTAATTTGATTTATTATCATTTTTTATAAAATAATAATTATTTTAAAAATATAAACAAAATAGTATTTTATTAAAATATATAATTTATATATTATATATTAAATCATAATAAATAAAATTAAAAATATTTTTATTAATATAATTTATATTTTTAAAATTTATTTTTTTTAATTTTGGGATAAATAATTTGTATATAAATAAATTGTGATTTTTTTAATTTAAAAAAAAGTATTAAAGATTATGATTAATTTTAAAATATAGAGTAAGTTGAATTACTAAATTTATATATTTTATTATTGTATGGTAGTTGGAATGAGGATTTTAACATTATTAACTATTTTTTTAATGTATTTATCCGATAATAAAACTTGATATGGTATACAAGTTGTTAACCGACTTTAATTATTTTCTTTTGTTTGAAACGCAAATTCATCAATAGGAATGTATCTTGCAGACACATTTTAATCAATTATCTATGTCACGAAATAAATAAAATAAAAATATTATTTAAATACGAATAAAAAAGTAAATACATAAAGTAAATACGCATTCAAAATATGACTTTCAAAATTATGTTTTGAGAGAGTGTATACGTATATTAAAAAAATGTTAAACAACCTTCATAGTTTTTACCTTCTTTCTGTTTTTCTTCTAGTGAAAATTTGATATTTTATTTTACCTTTCTATTTTTTTTTCTGTTTTAACCCAAACAAACAAACAGGTAATATGCATGATAACTATTTTGATATAATTATTAAAGTTTTTAACATACATTATTTTTACAACTTTAGCCTAAATATTTTGATAACTATTTATCTTATTCAATTTTGTAATTACTACTTTTGTTAATATTTGAGTAGTTATTTAATACTTGAATTTTCAATTGTATTAATAAATTTTGATTATGAGAAAGAAAAATGAAGACATATGTTAGTAACACGTATGAATTAGGTAAATTAAGTTGAATGCATGAAGAATATGTTGAATATGGTGTAGTCTTTAAAGTAGATCATATGAAAATTTCTGGCACACTCTTTAAACTAGAACCATATATATCATGCACACAAATCTTACCCATATATTCCCTCTCTTTACCCTAAATTTTAGGCACCACAACTAGTTGCTTCGGTTCCAGTTACCTTAAAACCAAATCTCATTCCTTCACCCTTCAAACAATCACGTGCAATAATCATAAAAGACATAAAGGAATATGAACAAACAACACCTTGTTTACATTCTGCACAACTGTACTCATTTGGTTGCCACAAACCAATACTAAGGTTTCATTCTTGCTTTTATTAGATCTGAATCTGATCCTGTAAAGTTGAGGATGGTGAATGCGACGTTGCTGCGTCGGGTTTCGCTGCATAAGCTTCTTCTGTTTTCTATTTACTCCCAAAAAAAAAAAAACCTTTATTCGGTCTAAAATAAACTATGTGGTCACGTCCAAAAAAGTAAAGTCAAAATGATAAACCCACGTAAATGGTTCCAAAAGCTTTGTATAACTAACGTGCTGGTTAAGATAACAATAAAAGTGTTGGTCTAAAAGTTTTTAGAAGGGAATACAGATATTTTAACAATGTTATAGGAAGGAACTGTATTTCATTATATAAATAGTTGAATGCGAGTTGTGTGATGATGGAATAAATAAAGCAAAATCAAATGAAAAGGAGATATATGCCACCTATCTAATCATCTAAACATGTTTATTTAATTATAAATAACATTTTGGTATCCATCTTCTCCAGAAGTTTGCGAGGCTGAAAAAGAATAACATAAACAATTTGAACTGAGAATGAATGTGATTTCTCTATCACATTTTTTATATCTATAAGAAGCAATGGTTGGTTGGTGTAGGTGACTATTCATGGTAACTTTAGTAGGAAAAGTGAAGCCTCACCCTGTCTCCCATATTTACATAAATTAATGTGCGACACAGGTTTAAAGACAAGACGAGGAAGATGTTCCAATCAGCACTCAAACAATTATCAAAGAAGTGGTAAACAAACTATACGCAATTTCATCCTAGATTAGGGTTTGGTGCTTTGTTACAACCGATGGACCAGGATTAAAGCATCATACATCATGCGTAGTTGGTTAATTTGGTTAATTATCATCTTCTTTTATTTCATTACTTTCAACTTTTCGATAGCTCACTCAGATGTAATATATTACTTCTATAAAATGTTATAAATTATTTGTTTTTTTTTTCACATAATTTTTTTGGATGTACAAATGCTCATATGATTTATATAATGTGTGTTTTCATACTTAATTTGCTTTTAATACGAGAAAGTCAAATCGAACCAAAACCATAATTTACTAAAGGAAATGAATTTTTGTCCAATCATTAAATTATTTTTAATTATTTAAGTCTTATAGGAACCTCATCTAATTGCAGTTTATAAAGAATGTGTTGTGTTGTTAGTATTTGATAGGATTGTAATCCACCCTTTATTAAAAAGTAATTAACCTCTTTGAAAAAATTATATCTTAAACTATTTTTTTCATCTAAACTAAAATTATATTAGACACCCAAAACATATGCAAATAAGGGGAAAAAAATAAAAAATTTCTGATAAAAATTGGTTGATAGCATATTTTTATTAGTTTAGGTATTCCTGACTTAGTAGTTTACAATTTGGTTGTTTTATAATTTTGTTTATTATTCAGTCTAAAAGCATAATTACGTTTTTTTTCATTAAATATTTTATTATGATGAATTTGAAAATTTATAAATTAAAATATTCTATTTGTCATGTTTTATAACTAAAATAAGAAAAATGTGATTACGTTCAATGTGAATTTTTTTGGAATATATATATTATCTATTTTTATTACAAACATAATTTTTTTTTCTCTGTTCTCAGAGATACATCTCTACTTTTTTTCACAAACTCAGTATTATTACTAAAATAAATAATACACATAAACCTAGACCATATATATATATATATATATATATATATATATATATAACTTACATAATATCCTTCTAAAAAAGGCACAGGGGTGTAGGTAAAAATTAGGGGTACAGAAAAGAAGTGCATGTTATTATTTTTCCTGTGTGTTAGTGGGCTTAGGGTTGGATCACTTTGTTGAAAAAAAAAACAAAAAATACACACTTGAAGCAAAAATATGGCAAAAGTAGTATTAAGTAAATAATATGTAAAAGCAAGAGTAAGAAAAAAATAAAAATAAAATAAGTTTATATACATGCTCAAAATTAAAACGTAGAAAAATGATATTTTGTTTAAATTAACTTAGGCATAAATTATTTTTAATTAATAGAAAAACTATTTTTTTTATCTTTCTTGAAAAATTCTCACTAAGGTATAATAATAATTTGATAAATAACGTTTATTTATAAAAAATTATTATTATCCAAATTCCATCGTTTTTCTATTTTTTTTCAAGTCAAACAAATTTATAACAATGCATGATAACGATATGCCATTTGAGACTATTTTTTTGTAATTTTTAAATTATATGAAAATATAATAGAAAAAGTATTTTTAAGTAAAAACGAAAAAAATACTAATTAGTATCCTAATCAATAAAATATTTTATCTATTAAAAAATCATTTGTTGTTATTAATATACTTCCAGTAAAAATTTCCCATACATTAATTAATTTAATTTTCATACATTTAATTTTAATTACTATTTTCTAGTTAAATCTAAAAGGAGCCAAAATCAAATTATTAAAAAAATTGAAAATCAATTAAAACAATTTTTTTATAATATTTCTTATTTTACCATTAAACATAGATTTAGTTTGGATGAACAAATTTGAATTAAATTATTTATTTTTTTAATATACTATTATATATTTATAATTAATTACCTACTAATATACACATAGATAAGTATATTTTGATTTTTTTATAATTTAATTATATTTTATTTATAATATATTTATATTTATTAAAATATGATAAAAAATATACTATAATTTTCAATTATAAAATTATATAATTTATTTACAAATATGAAAACAATTGAAATTATAATTAATCAAATAAAACAGATTGATAGCATGGGTTTGTTTGAGATAATATTCTATTGTTGAAACCTTAAATCATTCTTTAATTTATTATTATTAATATTAATATAAAACTATTTTTTAGCAAGATGTGAAAGGTTCAACTCAACAGAAGTATCCGTTAGAGATTAATAATGTTAAACTAAAAAAAAAAATAATAAAGAGAGAGAAAGATATGTAGTACAAAGAAATGTTACCGTTGGAACCTTAAATGTAACGGCTGATAACCAAAATCATATATAACGTTATAAATCTCTCTCACAATCAACACTTCATTTTCATCTCTTTCATTTTCTATCTGCCCTTTCCTTATTCAACATTAGTTCACCAATATTTGTTAATCGCATTCTTCTCTTAGTCGAGATCTGTTATCATATTTATCAGCACCAGACCATGGGTGAAACCAAAGATACCCACGTAGTCGAGATCCCGGTTGATCAGGAACATCATCATCAACACAAGAATGTCTTGTGTTCCATGACAAGTAACATGATTGAGGCAATAGAGGACCACCCTCTGACGGAAATATCGGAAAGCCCTGGTCACCTTTTACTTCTGAGGCTATGGCAAAGAGAGGAAGAACTCTTTGCAAAACGTATTGCTCACAAGGAGACAAGAATGGACACTATCAAAGCTGAACTCTTTCAACTCTCTTCTTTCTTCTTCATCTTCCATGGCTTCTTCCTAACCCTCTTGTTCACTTCCTGGGCCAAGGCCCACCAAGAGGCCCTGCAGGGCCACCACAGTGTTTGTCACAAGTGGTGGCTCCCTTCCATGGTGTCCCTTTGCACTTCCCTTGTGTTTGTGGTTCTTGTTCAGGTGAAGGTGCATAGGTATTGGAAGGTGTGGAGGCAGTTGCAAAGGGAGAGGAGTGATGGGAGGGCTGTGACAAGGTGCATTCAGGAGTTGAGGATGAAAGGGGCTAGCTTTGATCTGTCTAAGGAGCCTAACAGTGGGAAGAGGATGAAGAGCTCCAGTGTTGAGATCAAGTGGGGACCACTCACATGGTGTTCTAAGAACTTACTCACCATTTCCCTTGTTTGCTTTACAGGTTTGCTGTTTCCTGCTTCCAAGTTGGTCCTTTGTGGCTTGTGATCATGGATCTGCCTCTCCTTGGAGCATGGATTTGTTGCTGAGGGACTTGTTGTGGTACAGTTTTTTGTATTTTTCTCCTCTCTCGCACCAGATCTTGTTATGCTATGCTGTTTATGATAACTTTAGTCTTTCCAATCTTCTTTAATTGGTAAAATCTGTCCCTAGCTAAATGATTTTTTATTGGTTTGTTGTTTTTATGGTATGTCTCTTGCACTTGTTTAGCCTTTGCTGGGGAATGAAGCAGATTTGGTCCGATAGATTAGGCAACTCTTTTGAATGATAATAAGAGAAGTCTCAGAATTCAACGCAAAGTTCAAATTTTGCAAGGAGGGGGGGCTAGAGAATACTTTATACATATCACATACAGGACCACATACGGGAGACGGGAAACACATTTGTAAAGTTGATTTTTGATTGGTTTAAGGATTCTAAGTCCCTACTGAGAAGGTTTCTCTTGATGGTTGTGTTGCTGATTTGCTGGAAGCAACACCTCTTGTGTGCTCTTGATATCTACATTGTTGGGAGCTTTATCTACAATGCACTTAAACTGCTGTGCTGCTCCAATTTTGACCCATCGTGTACTACCATCTGTTACAAAATACTGTGGAACAAAAGCTGCAATAAATCTAGCCAAGTGTATAAGACACCAAATTCTTTTTCATTTCATTTCAGTGTAAAATTGTATTATTCTTATTTCTCATACTATAAACAAATTCTTTCATTCTTTTCAGTTTGTTCCTTCAACCTGAGTGTTCCTTGTTCCAAGATAAAAAAGCTTCTTGGTGGGTTGACATATAAAACATGCTATTACAAATACTAAGCAGATTACCAAATTGAAACCACTTTTATGCTGTTTTAATGCATCCGTTACTAATACTTAAGCAGGATTACCAAGATTTGAAACCAATTTTGTGTTGTTTTAACACGTTACTAATACTTGAAAGCACACTTAAATGATTATTACTATATTGAAACTCTAGTCAAACAATTTCTGCGTTGATGTTCCATTTTAATACACTTAATAATGAAATGACCAAATTACAAATTATGAATAATAGAAGGTTACCATTCTCTTATTAAGAAGATTACTAAATTACAAATACTTAAAAGAAAGATTACCATGAAGTTTCAAATAATTTAAAGCATATTAAATAAATAGAAACTCTAATAATTTGCGTCGATCATCTTTTTAATTTTAATGCAATCTAAGTAATTAATTCCTTAAGTTTTGTCTTCCTACTGACATTTTTTATTCTGGACTTTTACTATTTGACAGTTGGTCACACACAACCTAATAATATAAACTATCATTTATTTTGTTGTCCTTTAATGCACACCAATGTTATCACATTTGACAGTTGGTCACACACAACCTAATATAAACTCTAATTCTAATTGAAAAATAACACCAATGTTATCACATTTTCTCCAATAAAAATACTATGTTAGTCTTACTTTTGACAAATGGTCACAAATAAACAGATTATCATTTGTGTTGTTGTCCACTAATGCACACTATTTTGTTAAGACTGCCAGATTGATATCTTCAGTTCTAATAGTAGAATTGTATCAACAATAATTTTAGGAACTGCATCAACAAGCCTTATCGTATGGCCAATTTGGTCGCAACTTTTCTAACATAAAATTAAAGCATTGTTAAAAAAGATTAAAATTTACTAAAAAGAATGAAAAAAAGAAAAAAAAATCCTTTATCCTATTCATATCTGTGAATATCCCTTGTTCCAAAAATCTAATCCATTCAGATTACAAATCAACCTCCGTTAGGCACTCAAATCTCCATTTCCCTTTCTTAGAATTCTCAAATACTAATAAAATTGATGTCTCTGCCAAATACTAAGCATTTTCAAAACCAAAAATGCGAAAAACACCTGCAACCAAAATGCACAAATGTTAGCTGCGTCATTTTATGTTTCAATTAACACTTCACAGGTACCCAAAAATTATACCTTCATCAGCCTGATACTTGTTTTTGTCATCACCAGCATATGCAAGTAAGTTGTATTTAGGATTCCACTCCACACTGTTCATAGCAGCCCTACAAGGAATTTGATGCAGTGTTCTTCCAGTTTGAACATTTGACTGTTTCAAAAAGTAGCAACCAGAAGCACATTATATGCCAGTCATTCCAAAAATAATGCAGTATATGCATATGTACGTATAGATATATATAATGTCGTGTAACTTACTATATCAATGAACAAGTCTTCACTTGCAGAAGCAATTAAATCCCCAGTATAGTTGAAGCCAATCGTCCGGACAGGCCACCTGAGAAACATAGTATTCCACATTTGTCAAAATAAACACAATCAATATAGCCTAAAAAATGAAAGCTGAATACACAAGGACAACTCACTCCAGCTTTGTGAAGGTACGCACGCAGAGCATCTCTGAGATATTCCACAGGCTGACAAGGGAATCAGCACTTCCAACAGCAAAATATCTGCCACAATAACATGGCATTATCTATTTGTTATGTCCTTTTACACTCTTTCAATGGAAATTTAAGGATACTCTAATGAAGGAAATTAAGACAACAAATTAAATTTTAGAATCAGGTATGGTTGTACATTTGTACCTTAACTTGGTAACTGAAGTGCTATTAGTGACACCAGAAATAACAAACAATTGGAAACATACCTTCCTACTGGATCAATTGCAATGCAATAACAACCGGCTGTATGAGCCATGAGAGTGTCAAGAGGTCGAAGGGATGGGTAAGACAGTACTTCCACGGTCCCTGAGAGGGCAAGCATGTAATAATAAAAATATAAGTAAGTTCTCTACTTTATCAAAGTCCAAGTTGAGATTCATAGTTTAGAAAGCGCCATGTCATGTCAGTAAATGATCTTACCATTTCCCGTTGTTAGAAAGAACATCTCGCCTGTCATGTTCCAAGCAATCTCATTCACCTAGAAGAAAAAAAAGAACATTGGAATTAATTCTTCTTGATACATTTATGTTTCCCTTTGTGTTAAGCAGAAAGGATGTACAGTTTTTAAAGTATTGAGAGTGTGTAAATCATAGATGGGACATGTATGAACCCCCAAAAGAGCAGGTATATGTTTGGTGCAATTGAGCAAAACAATGAACTCTGAAACAATATAATAATAATAAATGATGTTGAGGGAGTTGGAACTTAAGGTGAGATGAATGCAATAAGAGAGTAAACAAAAGCTAGGAACCAAAAAACGCAGTTGGTTCAGAAAGTGAGAATGTGTTAGGAAGCAGAAGCACTCTGGTACTCATTCAGTTAGTAATCAACAATATTTTCCATGTAGGGTGAATCCTTAAAACTTGCACTGGTGGGAATATAGTGAAGAAAAAAAACATTATGTATAAATTTAAAAGACTCATCAGGTTTCAAGCAAGGAATTGAAAGTTGCTCCTGTTCAAGAAATATAGAAGTCAAACATAAAAAATATGAAAACTCTTGGTTAATTTTGATGGTTCAATACAAGGGCGGGACTCAGTTCTGCCAATTGACTGCAAATTTATATATTCTTATAAAGCAGTATGTAATTTACCTGAAACTAACAAGCCCTTTATTGGACTGTAAATTTGAATTCCTATTCCTCAACATGGTAATATGGTTGAAAATAGAAGAAAATCAAACTGATATGTAGAAACTGAATTGTATTCACTTAAATGTAAAATAAGAGTACAAGGATATATTTATATATAACATATACTAACGGGCGTAAGGGTTCACTAGTACAAGAATACACTAACATAACATGTTTTTTACCAATTAAACTGGTAAAGGCTAACGAAAGCCACATTGCACATAAGTTTCAAGCCTAAAAAATGGGCTTTAACAAATTGACAGAACGAACCCAACAACAGGAATGTAGTATAAACTAGATTATACCTCATAATTGAACTTGCGCCTATGAATTGGTTTGAACTTCCGAACATCCAGTATTGTTAATTCGTCATCCTATGAAGCACAAAACAAGGTATAAACTTTACCACACTTAAAAACAGAAAGAGAATCATAGACATGGTCTATTTAATAACTACAGACCTAATGATTCTACAACAAGAAACAATTCAAGCAAAACAGCCTCTAGTTGATATTGATGTATCCAATCACAACACCTGCACTTCAGAGCTTAAAGCAAATAAAAGAGATTGTGTCACATACTCGGTTACCAACAGCTACATGAGTCCCATCAGGTTTGTAAGTGATGTTGATATTCTCCCCACTAAGTTCGGCCTGTTGTGAGCATTTTCCACCTGCATAAACAAAACATGAGCAACTTCTTCCAAGTCCCCTCCCTGGCTTTCAATAAAAAAAATTAAATAATCTGTTTATATAATTTTAGAACTTCCATATAGCTAACTCAATTAGCATTTTTTTCGAACTATTTATAGAAAAAAAAACATTTATCTTACCTATAGAGATATTTTGAAGTAAATAAACCAATTATTTGTACATTCCAAACTGCTTATGCGGTATAGGTTTACATGGGATCAAGAGAATATAACCATACAATGCATTGCAGGTCTCCCAAATTATAAAAAGCCACAATAAATCTCCTCCCTTCTGATATGACAAATGAAAATAAATTGTGCAATTAAATGATCACTTACTTCGAGCATCCCATAAGCGAACAGTCTTGTCACCCGATGCAGTTGCAATCAAATCAGCATGTTTGGGGTCCCAGCATAACTGATCCACACTATCGGTGTGACCTTTCAATTCAATGTCTTTGACTTTGCCCTACAATAAACAAAATGTTTCATTTATTGATGAAAAAATTCACAGCTGACCTACTGCATCCATAAGGATTTCCTTTCAGATTATGCATAATTCACAATGCCATTCTTGAATTGGTCCAACATGTTCTAATTCTAATAGAAACATCCTCTCTAACATTATAGTCGTTTTGGATCCACATAAGGAAAATCAATCGGTGGTGATTATTAGATAACCCTTACCCATTGATCCCAACTGACGCTAGTCTTTCCCCTGCTCTAGATACATCTCAACATTAAGTTTTACTCTTCCTCTGCTAACAATTTTTAAGGATTAATCCTTGGTTAAATCACTTAAAAAAAAAAAAAAAAGCAAAATCATATCTGAAAGTAAGTATTTACCTAAACCCAAATCCTTTAAAGGTCATCTAATCTCATCCGCAGAAAGTAAAATGGTTCCACAGCAATTTCAAAGTGAAAATTATTAAACAAGACATCAACACGTAAGGGTCCTCGTACTCAATTCATTTTAAAACAGCAAAATACTACATTTATTTGAAAACATTAAATTAGCTTTCTACACTTTTATTCCATTGCCCTGAAGCTTAATCAGGTACAGTAACCCAAAAGTCTGGCCCAGACCTAAGGATAATATAATTTAGTCCATGAAATTACAAGATAACTTGTTGTCTCATTCTTCTGAGAGTTATTACGAGAAAGTATATCAATGCAAAATTAAAAAATTGTCCTCAAACACCAAAAAAAAAGGAGCAATTAGGATAATCTCACATGCCCATGCGGCTCAATATGCCATATTCGCGCAGTTTGGTCCACAGAGCCAGAAGCAAGTTTTGTGCCAATGCAATTCCATGCCACAGAGTGCACCTATTGGAGAAAAAACAACAAAAACACCAATTCCAGAATTGAAGCATGAAAAGTGAGAAAAGGCATGTTTTACCCACAAACCGAAAGTTTCAAGGATGAGAAGCACGAAATGTTGAGCTTTGAACGCGTTTACCATGAATGAGAAAGAGGGGGCAAATGGGTACCTTCTTCTTGTGACCCGAATACTCTCGGCTATGGAGATTCTTAAACGGGATTTGTTCCTCCATTGGGGAAGCAACGAATCTGGGAAGCTGAGCTTGAGTAGAAAGATTCACAGTAACTTGTTGATTATTGTGAGCAGTTTGATGATTAAAGGGAAAACGCACGCACAGGAGAAACGGGATGAAATAGGAGAGATGAAGAGTCGTCTTTTTACCTCAAAATTTGGTAGAAATTTTAAATTTATCTATATAATAAAAAAAAATCTGAAATATAATTATTTTTTATATTTAAATATGCGATCTATTTTTGTTTTTGTTTTTTTATATCTTTTAAATACTACAAATACTAATAATTACTGAAATAAATTAAAATATTTTTTTATAAAATAAATCAATTTTACTGTCAACCATCTCTATAAAAAAAATTGTAGCCTATTGAAGCATGGTATAACAAATGAAAAACTCAAGAGAAAGAGCCCAAAGTAAAAATTAGGTCAAATAATTTAATCAAGTGATTCATTATTCTTTTCATATCGTGCTTATTAAATGTTATGTCATTAAATCTTGTTTGGTATAACGTAGTTTTACTGAGTGAGATTATTCCAAGTAAATGTTAAATTTATTAAAGAATCTTAACTAGTGAGAGGGAATGCTTGCTAAGCATATATGGAAGTTATTATAATTTTTTTTTAATTTTTATGAGTGCAAAAATCTTAATTATTTACTAAAATTACATAGAAATAAATCAAACATTTTTTTTAAATAAAGCATCGATATTAATTGCTAAAACCGCTTATTAATCATAGTTTGTATCACCTATGTTATGGGTAATAGATATTTAAATTATATATATTTTTTGAATTCATCATTTTATAAGATTTTGAGTAATATGATAATAACTTAATTATATTTATATTAAAATTATTTTCAAATGATTATTGAATGAGTATGACACAAACGTTCCTTTTTTATCCACGTCAAATCTTTTCCAAATAAACAATTAAAATTTATTATCTCTTAAACTCTGATCAACACATATATGATGTGTATTCTCCCTTTTACCTTTTTTTTTCATTTATTCTATATTTTAATGGAAAAAACTCCTAAAATTAAAGTTCCATCGAGCATTATTAGTAATCAAGGAAAAATATTTAATATATAAATGGTGTAATAAATTTGAAGATAAAAGAATATCTTTACAAACCGACTTGTTTATATAAGTAATTTGATTTATTTTTAAATAAGCATGTATAAGAATAATAAAATATTTGTTCCAAAGTGTGGCATCAAAATGCAGAATCTCAGTCTGCAGAACATTGATACAGAGTCCACCATTCCACTTCATATCATATGAAATTAAAATGAAAAGTTTATGCTTTTTCCTTCTACTTTTTCTATGTATACACACACCAGCACCAGCCATGCATGGAGATGCTATGAACCATCAATGCCTGGCTTAATTACAGTATAAAACAGTACATTGTACAATATAGTGAAGAGAACCAGACCACCTGCTACAGTCGCAAGAAATGAATCTGTAATTTCTAACGTTTCTTTGTCACTGCCTACCTCCACGGGAAGCTTCAGGTCCGAAACTGTGGGTTAAGAATCGATGAGAGGAAAATTTTGAATGTTGTAATGGTTAACAATCAATTATAAAATAACATATTTCAAAATTTTCTCTTATGAATCATAATATATAATCTGAAAATTTCAAAACAGAACAAGAATTAGAAAATTTAGATATGGATTTAGTATAAAAAGGAAAAGAAGAGGGAGGGTACCCTTGAGTTTTCGGGCCTTGGAGGGTTTGTTGGAGAGAGACTGCATCTGTTCATCAAGCTTTTTGAGTGCTTCTCTGGCTTTTTCTGGCTCTATCTCATACTGCTGTGACTGTGAATCTTCCTTCACTGATGCATGAACCACCCCAAAACAAGAATCTGAAGTAGAAAAATAAGGGTTTGTGATCAATCTCTTGTGCTTCAAAATGCCTTCATTATTGTGCACAAGAAACAGTGATGGTGGCTGCTTGTAGAAGCAAAGAAGCTGCATGGATAAGAACATTTGAAGTTGAATATGGGAATTGGAAATTGGAACCACTCTTCACTCACCCAAATATCTAACACACAACACAAGCAAAGGAATTGAAGATAATGTGGTGTCTTTAACTTCACTGTGCATGACAGTGACCTTTGATTTTTATATTTCTTTAATGTGAGCGTTTGTGGTGTGTCTTACAATTTTATAATACATTATACAATATCATTTAGATATAATTTTTAACTTAAGAGTATAAATAATAAAACATTATACATAATATTCTATGATTAAATAATAATATAAAAAAATATTATTAATGTATACTAATTAAATTTTCAAAATACTATTCAGTATTTATTTTAACCATAAAACACAAGTTATGTTTGACTCAGTTTCCAGTTGTCGTGTTAAATTGAGAATGTGTTGGAGTTAGTGTAAATTAAAAAATATTATTAATGTTTTTTTCCTTTTATGATTAAATATATTTTCAAAATTTTGTAAAAAACAAATTGTTGTATTGTATTCTTTATTTTAAGATGTTTTTAAAAATTTTATATGTTGTTGTGACACTTGTAGTCGTTACTAAATTTAGGTGTTTTGTCAATTGATACAGCACGTGGCATTTCTAATAATGTAAATATTATGTACTTAATTTAAAATTAATATTAGGAACAAGTGATTAATATTTAAAATTTTATATAATTTATTTTAAAATCTTTTTTTATAAAAATAACAATTACATATATAATATAATGTAATACATTATTACTTATTTAATAATTTATATTATTATATACGCGGATGTTAATTTTAGTTTAATATTATATTAAATGACAAAAATATTTATGTAAACATGATTCAATTATATAAATAAAATATAATATAATTTTTAATTTACAATATTAAAACAAGGTTATGAGTCTTTTAATTATAAACTATTTAATTTTTATATACTTACTTAATAATGTATGATTTAAACTCTTGAATCTCTAACACTAACACATAATATTTTATTTTGTTTTTTCGTACAAAGTCTACCCAAGTTTCATTCTCATGCATAACATATACATAAAACTTCACAATTTCAAAAGATTAATACTTAGTTTGGATTTCGAAATTAACATGTCTCAAAATTGTACCAGTCATTAAATTGGAATTTAGGGTTTAAAGAGTCCGTAAGGATTTAATAAAAAATAAAATCGATTAAATAAAATAATATATTTTAATAAATAATAATATATTGAGTTTAAAATAAGTTTATCAAAAATAAAAAATCATTAAAAAAATATATATAAAAATCTGTTTTTCCTACAACTTGCATAAGATTCAGGGGTTTACTTCTCCGATGCCATATTAACATTATTTTAATTGTTATTCATATGAATATTTATTCACACATGGTAATTCCTGCATCACAAAGAATAATAATAATAACAATAGCACATGCAATACAAAGCAAGTAGAGAAAAAAATATGGCTACACTTTACTTGAAACTAATTAGGAGAAAAAAATACAATAAAAAATAATTAAGAAGACAAATTTGTATTATATCTTCCATTACATATAATTTTAAATTTTATATATTTTATTTTATTTTAATATATAGTTATAGAACACAAACATAATTCATTGTACCTAGTTCATTATCCACTTATCAATATCAATTTTATTCTTAATATCTAATTTTTGTAAATCCCAATTTTAGAAAATATCAAATTTAATTTCATGATAATATCAAATTTAGTTTCATGATATATGCACTGAAAATCCGTCTAGAAATATTATTCTTTTACCGTGTGACACATCTAAAATTGTTTTATTAAATTAATTTTTGAAATGAAGAAGTTGTGATTCTTTCATGTTATTGTATTTTCATGAATAATTGTGGCAGTGATAATAATAAATCATAACGGCAATATGAGCAACACTGGAAGGAGACTATCAAAGATAGTGAGTGACGATGACAATTGTAAGAACGAAGATTAAAGTGAAAAAAGAATATCACTACCATTAAAAATAAATTATCTCTTCACTTTTGTATATCTCCATGTTAAACTAATATATATATATATATATATATATATATATATATATATATATATATATATATATATATATATATATATATATATATATATATATATATATATATATAAGTTGATTAGTTTTTTTTTAAAGATGATTCTTTAATCGGTTTGTTTTCACTAATTTATGCGATTTTTGACCGAATCATTGTTTATCCAAATTATCCACTTTAAAAAAATAAATTATGTTATCAAAATATTAAAACTCATCACATATCTCTTTATAACTTCCATAAAATTTAATAACTTAATCTATATAAGAGATCACCATTATAATCTGTTTTAAAATAAGGGGTATTGTAAAACTTAGAATGTGACAAAAAACGTAGGTAGTTAGGATTTTGGGTCTAATATACACCTATAAATCGAAACAACTTCACATTCTTCCAAAAATCCCTCTCTCATCTTCTCTTTTATGTGTTTCTTTATGTTCTACTATTATCTATTATCCTGAACTTATTTATTTATTCATTTAAGAATTTTTTATTAGTTTATAAGATCGTTGTAAATTCGAGAAGTTCTTATCTGTATTATGGAGGACTTGTACAATACAACACATATAAGTCCTTAAAAACAGTAATTATACATGTCTCAAAAATGAAATTTGTTGTTCTTTATCAATTTTTATAACATAATATAAATATAGCATATTACATCTTAATTAAATATATTAATTAAATATATGACAAAATAGTAGTAATTTTGCAGTAATTATTTCCTTTCTATATCATTATCATAAAATTATATTTATCATGATTATAATTCGATCCAACAAAATTTAAAATAGGTATTCATATATTTAATTTATTATTTTCAATATAAAATATACATCAAATAACTTTATCAGAGACGTTTTTAAAAAGCTGTAAAATTATTGTTTTTTATTTATTTTTTGAAAATGACCAAATGAATAAAAATGGTTGACTGAATTATGGATAACCTTTAAATGCTCATTTTTAGTATAATTTTTATTGAACAAAATTGAATTTCACTAGGGGAAATTTACACATAGTTGAACCCTCAATGTTATCCCCATGTCACTACACAATTTTAAAAGCATTAAGAATTGAATTCAAATACTAGACTTAGAAATGAAAATAAACTCACCTAAGATGCATTTACTCCATCAATTAATGAGAAACCTAAATCAATTCAAAAATCTAAATCAAAGACAGAATCAACATCCAATTACATATTCTCTGATTGACTTCAACAACTCCAAATTTTCTTATCAATTCTAAATAATGTAAATCATCGAATTCACTTAAATAATATACACTAAACTTCTAAAGGAAATTAAACTAATTCTACTAACCAAAAATTGTAATTATAGAAAAAAGACTTTACATATGTCCACACTTATTCACAAAAACCTTTAGATGTACTATTATAAACTTATAATAGATTTTTTTTTTCTCATAAAAAAATATATGCTACCCATAAAGAAGAAAATTGAGAAAAAAAAACTTATTTAATTTGAAAACTTGATAAGCAGGAAACATTTTTACTATATCTAACTTGAAACTTGAAAAAAATTAACAAGAGGTTCAAAAAAAGAAGATAAAAAATAAAATTTAAAGAGATAATAAATTTTATATAAATAAAATTTAAATAATTAAATTTTGTATTTATAACATTTTTAACTCAGTAAAATAATTTGATTTTATTATATTAAAACACTTTTACCTTAAGATTAACAAACTCAATTCTTAACAACATCAAATATATTAATAAACAAATTTTAATTAAAAATAAATTCATTTAATATAGATAACAATACAATTAAAATGTCTAGTCTTAATTCAACTAATAATATTCTTAGTGAAATGAAATAATTTCTTAATGGAGACTAAATAGAAGAGATAATATTAAAAAAACAAATTTAAAATAAAAATAATATTAAAAATTTTAAAATCTTATTTTGTGTTATAAAATTTAAAATTATTATAAAAAAATTTAAAATTTAATTTTTTAATTCTCATTTAAACAAAATATTTCTTATAATAATATATTTTAAAATTCCATAAAAATAAATTAGCTTTTGAAAGTTTTACATCTTCACACATTATTAAAATTTTGTTTTGAGAATCTATAAGTTGAATCTAAAGATTAATGGGAGAGTTGTGAATAAAATGAGAGAGAAATAGGAGAGAGAGAAAGAGTAGGGTAACAGAAAGAGAAGGAAATGAAGAAGTCTTCGGGAGGCGCAGCTGACAAGAAGAGGCTCCGACGCTCCTCCGCACCAGATCCCACCTCCGACGTCCCTCCTAGGGTTAGGGTTTTCATTTCCCCTCTTCAATTTTCGACTCCTAATTCCCTCTCTCTGCTATATTCCTCTCGTTGTTAATCTCACTCTACTCCTTTTTTTTCTTCATTTTCGTTGCCACCAAAACGCATCAGATCAAATTTTGTGTTTCAATTTTTTTGGGGTTTGGATTTCGGTAATGTACTGATTGGGAGCGGGGAGAACTATGAGCAGTATTTTAATTGGCGTGAGTGTGTGATAATGCCATGTTTGCAGCTCAATTTTTGCAATTCTCCTAATAAGGTTTTTTCTGTGATTGTAACTTTTTTTTTTTTCATTTTATATTTTACTAGTGTTTTTAATGGAAAAGAAAATTGTGGAAGGAAGGTTGAGTTTTTATTGACATTTGATCTGGTGTGCGTGTGTGTGAAAATTTGTTTGTTAATTTACGCTTCGATATATTCTGCAATGTCTATATTTTGTTCCCGTTTGTAGTGTGTCTTTGTGCGGGTCCATGTTCAATTGTGCCATGTTTTTTTAGTTTTCCTATTTTGCCTTTTTATTTGCCTAGAAAAGAGCGCTGTTATTTGGTGATTGAGTTGGGGTTTCTCTGTTTCAGAAACAAGCTGTCAAGAAAGATGTGTTTCAGGTGTTTGCTGAGAAGGTTAGAGACCACAAAGAATTGGTGTCGAGA